GGTTAACGTAATTGACACCAATATGGTTTTCACCCTATCAACTATTTGTTTACAGCTTAAGAAACTACTGATGGCGCAACGTGTTCCAATAATCAATTTATTTGTTGAAAATAATTATGATTATTTAATAATGTATGAACCTAATGATGAGACTCAAAATTCAACTCCAATATTCCAACAGTTATAGCGAATAAATATTTTCGTACACATTTTTTTTTTTAATTGTCCTAATGTAATAACTTATAATCATTTCTTAATATTACATTTAATTTGATTGTATAGAAAATGAATAACTATATTAATTTTTTTCTTGTTTATATTAATACTTACAGTGTGATTCTTTTATTATGAACCACTAAATATCTCATAGGGTTTACTAAGCAATTAAAATGTAATTTTCCATATTGTTGTTGTACAATCTGATCTCAACTTAAATGGTAACGTATATATTTTATTTTGTTGAGTTGGGGTATAGTGGGAACGTGGAGACCACAGGTTTACAGGAATTTTTAAATCTGAAAGTGATAAAATCACTTTCGAAAAAACGCTTTGATGCAAATCGGTAGTTAGTATTTTCAAGCCAGTACAGTCCAAACCAAGTACAATATAAACCAGCAAAGTTAGAAAGTATTAAATTGAGGTGCTGTATTTTCAAATAAGCATCAAAGCTTTAATTTGAAAGTGATTTTATCCGAGAGGACTGGTACAGTAGAGTATAGGCATAATGGAATCAAAGCAACGACGGGACGGAGAGGTCACAGGTCTACAGAAATTATTATTAATTAAAGTGATAAAATTGAATAAAATCACTTTCAAATAAACGCTTTGATGCTTATTTGTAAATACAGCACCTCAATTTAATACTTTCTAACTTTGCTGGTTTATACTGTGCTTAGTTTGGACTGTACTGGCTTGAAAATACTAACTACCTATTTGCATCGAAGCGTTTTTTCGAAAGTGATTTCATCACTTTCCGATTTAAAAAAACCTGTAAACCTGTGACCTCCCTGTTCCCGACTCAACTATGCTCCGTCCCCACTATGCCCCGACTCCACTGTACTGGTTTTTTGATATTGGTAAAGTAAAAAAATATGCTTATTAATAACATTAAATTAATTCGATGATGTACTTCGTATTATTTATTTGTTTTTTATTCCTAACAACTACTAATTTGAAATTTCGATGTAACATTTTAAGCCAATGTAAAATAAAATATATATGAAAAGGAATTTCACAGCCAAAATCAACACAATATTATGGTATTTCATTCAAATAGATCAGTTCTAATAAAACATTTTAAAACATATTTTTTTCTTGTTAGCTCACGTACAGAGCTTTCGTAGGTAGTATTTGCGTTCAACCATGTTTTTTTGTTTCGTTATTTGATCTAGAACTGAGCAGATGATAATAATACTTTAACAAAACTTCTATATTAATATAAACCATAATAGCGTTACAAGAAAAACATGCATTTTTTGTAGATAATATCTATATTATATTACTATTGATAATTATAGGCTTAAAATGTTTAGACAGTAGCAGATACACTAATTGGTCTTTCATGGATTATTATATTACTAAATTAATAGTACAAAATGTATACAGTCTTGAGGTCAAAGCTAACATACTAGTAAAAATATTTAATGGTTCGTGTATTGGATAGGAGGGACTGTTAAAAGATTAGTGTATAAAGCCTGCTTATAACAAACTTTAAATAATCATATTAATAAAGTTCCGCCTACATTCTATGACTTTAGAAAATCCACTCTCACATACTTTACGTGATTAGGCATGAAATGACACAATAAGAATATTTTCTATAGACTATAGATAGTAAATAATCAAAATGAATTATAGGTTTATATTTGTAAATATTTTATAACTTATAAAGTTAAACAATTGACACTGCTTACCGCATCCCTATAGACATTTTATAATTAAGATATAAAAACCGGGAAGGAATCAGAATTAAAAGCAAATAATCGCAATACATTAGATTAATTAAAACAAATTTTACTTGTACAGTTAATATTATTTTTATTGGTAGACAGGTATATGTAATAGATAAAATATAATTTATATGATAGGTAACAAAATAAGTGATTTGGAGTACATTGTTATTAGAAAAATCGGAAGGTTGAAACACAGTTATGATAAACAAAGATGAACATTTTACAATATACAATTAAGCATATGTATTTTTAGAATGTGAGACAGATCTTGGATACTTCAGCTTTGTTGGTAAATTTACTTGTTGTCAGCTAAAAAAAAATATAAAAATATTGTGTAAACAAAACGTTTGGTTATAATTAGCTTCCATATTAATTTGTATTCAAATTAAGTTAGGCTCCTTTACAAATGTATTAAGTACAAGATGTTTCCATTTTAAATAAAATCTAAGCATTTACATCTATTGTTTTAATTTCGAAAAAACAATGATTTAGATATATTCAAGTACTATTATGTATAAAATAATCGTTTATAAAAAAATAATAATGAAACATTTTTCTTCCTTATTGAAAATAATTTTAAATCTGCTAGATTTTTGTAAATCACAAAAAGTTATATTATCATCTAACTTACAGTTATATAAAAAGAAAAGTATATGTAATGGACATATTATATATTTGATGGGTAACAACATGTGGTTTTTTCAAAAGTATTCTGTTTTGTTAACAAAATGGAAATACTTAATACATTTTGAAATGCGAGTTGTAAAATGGAATAGCCATTTAAAATCAATAGATTCTGGGACAAGGGGAAGGGTGATAATCACTGTGCGTCAAAATAAAATGTATTATTATTATAACCTATCTTTTAGAAGGATTTGAATAACTACATACTGGATCTAGGGCCCACAAATTTTATGAATTTAGCAATATGTCCTATAACAAATATATATCGTCTGCTTCATTTATCGTAATCAACTAGTGTATGATTAACTTTTTTTTAAGATTTTATGTGTTATATGGCTACAGTGAACTACCTTATAGTCTAATTTTCTGACCTAAAGTTTCTATATACGCTTAAAACAATTATACACAGAGCTTTTGAATCGCCAGACAAATTTCTTTGAGTAACATATCTCAACAGATCACACATCATCATGCCATGCTCCCACAACAGCAGCCTTGAATTTTTTATTATAGTTATTTCCTCACTTCCCCCCCCCCCATCACAGATGATGGACATGATTTTGTTTTATAGACATAATTTTAAAACCTTTTAGTTGAAAATTAGTAAAAAGATAGGACTCATATTTATCTACAACATATTGAGCAGGGGTTTTTCAGGGGTAGTGCTGATTTTTTATCAGCACTACAAATAATTTAGTTGCCAAAAAAAATGTGTATTTTGCATATTTTGTAAATTTAAATACCAGCACATTATAGCTTCGAAAAAAATGATCAATTCAAGTTAATATTTTTACAGATACCTATTTTAAGTGATCTTATTTAGTTTTTTCCAATTTTATTATATTTTTATAAACATTTTTTTGGTCAGGTTATCCGCTGATCTGATTTTTTAATGTAGAAAGTTTATAAATCAGATCATATCTAAAAATCACTTTGTTAGGTCAAAATTGTAAAAATGTCAACCATTTCCCATTTCAAAATAGAAAAAACCGTAAAAAATGTATATCCGAAAAGATCGTATTTTTAAACTTAAAACTACGGTGAGCAATAACTTTATTTTAATAATAGTTTTATTAGTTGGGCTAAAGCCCAAAAGTATGACAAAATAGACTGAAGGTACATTTAGAATAGGAATTAACACTACTACCGTAACAAAGATACAGGTTGCCACGTGACAGTGAATCTAAGTCAACAGGTGTATAAAAAATGAATTAAATTAATTTCGTATACAGTGGTGTAATAACAGTGTTGCCATTGCAATAGATCTATCTTAACTTTAGTACCTACATTTAAACTGTGCCAAATAAATACAATGGGTAAAAAGGGTTAATGGTATTATTCTGGGTTCAAGACTGTGTGTATCTGTTTTTCCATGATGTATTCAAAATCTGTAAAATTGTTGTTCTTAAAAAGTTGTGGTAATGTATAAAAAGATGAAGTGTTTGGTGTATCGATATCAAACTAAAATAAAGGAAATGCCGGGCTTGAAATGTTTTAGAATTGTACATGGAACCTTAGTGCATTACGATAAAATAGACTTGCATTGATTAACAATATGTTAAAACAACACGGCAATATCAATAAATTGAATTATTTCGGACATTGAATAGTTTTTGTTAATAATTTCTAGTCCTTTATGATACTAAATTAACTGTAGGTTTTTTAGTTTAACTGTTTCAGTGCAACCTATAAATTTTACACCACTAGTGTGAAAAATATTACTCATATGTCATATGTCATTTTACTGCAAAACTTAAATAAATAAGTTGCTAAATCAATAAAAAAAGTTTGGCTGTATTTTAAACTAGGTTCTAGAACCAAAAACCATAAATTTTGTCTATTGTTTACACATTTTATTCGTAACAATAGGACCTGAAATGTACTTCATTCGACCAAACATATTTAACAAACAATGAACACATACACAATAACAATACATAAACCATTTAAATATGTACATTCCCTTCGCCTACAAAATAACATTTTCAAATTTTGTGCAGCACATATCGTGTATTTGTACATGAGTATTCTAAAATGTTTTTAGTTTAATATTAAAACATGTTATTATTTGAACAATACACGCGCACGATATTTTCAACTGTAAGGTCTTAAACTTACAAAAAAATGTCATCACCCTTGATGGGGAGGGGAGGGTGAAGAAAAAATATTATTACTCATGTTATTCATTTCGATGCAAAACCTAAACAAATAAGATGCTAAAACGATAAAAAAAAAACATTCTGCTAAACGTATTTAACAAACAATGAACTCATACACAATAACAATACATAAATAATTACAAATTGTACACTCCCTTCGCCTACAAAATAAGACAAAAATATCTCTCTATATAATGTAAGCAACAAACGTAATATTGCACTAGTATAGTATTCTACATCATTGCGGTTTTATAATAATAACAAGTTGAAAAAATGAATTTCAAAAGTATTTTTTGTATTGTAGCCACCATATTTTCCATAATGATGTATGCGTATGCGGGTACAGAACCAGGTTCAGAAGGTAGAAAAAACATTTTTATTAAATCTTCTTTTTTTATAGGATCTTCGGCCAATAAATTTTTTTTAAATATTTCGAATATTGTGGTCGTTTTTACCAGTTTTTTCGACTCGTCTATGAAATTTTACCTTTTTATACCTTATTTCCTTTTTGTTTTCTAAGCGTTTTTGTGGACATCCCAGTTTGAAACTAACATTATTTTACATAAAAATCTAATTTGTAATAACTTTTTTTTTAATGGCCGAAGATACTATAAAAAAATGATTAAACAAATTGCCATGAAAAAAAATTAAAAATACTTTAACGGCCAATGTAATGTAGTTGAATTCACGTGTTTTTTTGCAAACTTAATATTTATTTTATGAATGTAGAAAAATATCTACCTATACAACCATTTAAAACGAATACATATTAAAACAACTGTACTTAGCCTTAGAACAATGAGCCATATGATGCGTTGGGAAAAATATTTAATTTTTTTTTCGATATTTCAGTTAAACTTAATGGTACGGATCCTGATACCAGTAAGTTTTTGAAACTGCTACAACTTATATATATTTTAAAAGTGAAATTAAATATACATTATTATTGTTCGTTTTTCAAATAACTGTAATGTGGATGATAATATCAGTTTTTGTGCTTTGCAAAGATACAAGATTTTTAATATTATTTTCAATAAAGCTGAAAATGTGTATAAAATGTTACTAATGCATTACATTGTTGATAATAAAAATACATTTATTATGTCCATAAGCATATAATTATATAATATTATACCTAGTTGAAATATTGTTTAAAAAATATAATTTGTGGCTAACGAATTTAAACGCTTTAGATAAACAACTAAAACATATTATCCAGTATAGATAATTCAAAATTAAATTGGAAAAACTAGTAATTGAGTTATTTTTTCGGTATTTCAGAACCAGATCCGTCACCACCACGACCAATAGTTTCAACAGGAACACCAAACCCGCTTGGTAAGTTTTTGAGACTTTCATATAGATTATTAAATTGTAATTCAATATGAAATTTAATCATTCGTTTTCTAAATAACTGTAAGTTAGATGATAATATAACTTTTTGTGATTTACAAAAATCTAGCAGATTTAAAATTATTTTCAATAAGGAAGAAAAATGTTTCATTATTATTTTTTTATAAACGATTATTTTATACATAATAGTACTTGAATATATCTAAATCATTGTTTTTTCGAAATTAAAACAATAGATGTAAATGCTTAGATTTTATTTAAAATGGAAACATCTTGTACTTAATACATTTGTAAAGGAGCCTAACTTAATTTGAATACAAATTAATATGGAAGCTAATTATAACCAAACGTTTTGTTTACACAATATTTTTATATTTTTTTTTAGCTGACAACAAGTAAATTTACCAACAAAGCTGAAGTATCCAAGATCTGTCTCACATTCTAAAAATACATATGCTTAATTGTATATTGTAAAATGTTCATCTTTGTTTATCATAACTGTGTTTCAACCTTCCGATTTTTCTAATAACAATGTACTCCAAATCACTTATTTTGTTACCTATCATATAAATTATATTTTATCTATTACATATACCTGTCTACCAATAAAAATAATATTAACTGTACAAGTAAAATTTGTTTTAATTAATCTAATGTATTGCGATTATTTGCTTTTAATTCTGATTCCTTCCCGGTTTTTATATCTTAATTATAAAATGTCTATAGGGATGCGGTAAGCAGTGTCAATTGTTTAACTTTATAAGTTATAAAATATTTACAAATATAAACCTATAATTCATTTTGATTATTTACTATCTATAGTCTATAGAAAATATTCTTATTGTGTCATTTCATGCCTAATCACGTAAAGTATGTGAGAGTGGATTTTCTAAAGTCATAGAATGTAGGCGGAACTTTATTAATATGATTATTTAAAGTTTGTTATAAGCAGGCTTTATACACTAATCTTTTAACAGTCCCTCCTATCCAATACACGAACCATTAAATATTTTTACTAGTATGTTAGCTTTGACCTCAAGACTGTATACATTTTGTACTATTAATTTAGTAATATAATAATCCATGAAAGACCAATTAGTGTATCTGCTACTGTCTAAACATTTTAAGCCTATAATTATCAATAGTAATATAATATAGATATTATCTACAAAAAATGCATGTTTTTCTTGTAACGCTATTATGGTTTATATTAATATAGAAGTTTTGTTAAAGTATTATTATCATCTGCTCAGTTCTAGATCAAATAACGAAACAAAAAAACATGGTTGAACGCAAATACTACCTACGAAAGCTCTGTACGTGAGCTAACAAGAAAAAAATATGTTTTAAAATGTTTTATTAGAACTGATCTATTTGAATGAAATACCATAATATTGTGTTGATTTTGGCTGTGAAATTCCTTTTCATATATATTTTATTTTACATTGGCTTAAAATGTTACATCGAAATTTCAAATTAGTAGTTGTTAGGAATAAAAAACAAATAAATAATACGAAGTACATCATCGAATTAATTTAATGTTATTAATAAGCATATTTTTTTACTTTACCAATATCAAAAAACCAGTACAGTGGAGTCGGGGCATAGTGGGGACGGAGCATAGTTGAGTCGGGAACAGGGAGGTCACAGGTTTACAGGTTTTTTTAAATCGGAAAGTGATGAAATCACTTTCGAAAAAACGCTTCGATGCAAATAGGTAGTTAGTATTTTCAAGCCAGTACAGTCCAAACTAAGCACAGTATAAACCAGCAAAGTTAGAAAGTATTAAATTGAGGTGCTGTATTTACAAATAAGCATCAAAGCGTTTATTTGAAAGTGATTTTATTCAATTTTATCACTTTAATTAATAATAATTTCTGTAGACCTGTGACCTCTCCGTCCCGTCGTTGCTTTGATTCCATTATGCCTATACTCTACTGTACCAGTCCTCTCGGATAAAATCACTTTCAAATTAAAGCTTTGATGCTTATTTGAAAATACAGCACCTCAATTTAATACTTTCTAACTTTGCTGGTTTATACTGTGCTTAGTTTACCCCAACTCAACAAAATAAAATATATACGTTACCGTTTAAGTTGAGATCAGATTGTGCAACAACAATATGGAAAATTACATTTTAATTGCTTAGTAAACCCTATGAGATATTTAGTGGTTCATAATAAAAGAATCATAAATGATTATAAGTTATTACATTAGGACAATTAAATAAAAAAATGTGTACGAAAATATTTATTCGCTATAACTATTGGAATATCGGAGTTGAATTTTGAGTCTCATCATTAGGTTCATACATTATTAAATAATCATAATTATTTTCAACAAATAAATTGATTATTGGAACACGTTGCGCCATCTGTAATTTCTTAAGCTGTAAACAAATAGTTGAGAGGGTGAAAACCATAGTGGTGTCAATTACGTTAACCTTGATTAGATAAAAACAAGTTTTAATAAAAACTGTTGTATTGTGGTTGTATCATAAACTTATAGTGTTCTGCCATAGAGTGTGCTACGGTGGTAAAGATTATGAGTTACCTATTACTTTACTTTGCTTTTCGATAAATTTATTTTTTAAGATATCACCCATGACCACTCCTCCTAACCACTATGGTCCGATCCCACAATACTAGCTTATTTATATTTTAGGCGTGATTCAAAAAAACACATTTTATTTTGTTTTTTTTTTCATATTCCCTTATCGTTTGGTTTAGAAGGTAGATACGTTTTAAAGTAAAATATTCAATTGTTTATTGTTCGTTAATATGCATGTATATATTTTTTTTAAATATATATATATATTTGTGTGAAATTTTATTCTTCCAGAAAACCTTATATTTCATCAAATCCAAACAAATCCGAAGGAAGTTTCACTTCAGTTGCGCGTATCACAACAGCTTTTATTATTAATATCATATTTTTCACAAACTATTGAATATTCATAGAGCTTATTAGTTTCTTTAATTTATTTATGAAATGAAAACCGGACGAATTTTGGAAAAAAATAAAATTACCAGATTTTAAAAATATTGATTAGGGATTATGGTCTTATACTTTAGTTTTGTATCAATAATCAAACATCAATTAACATGTAGGAAAAATAAAAAAAACCTTTATTTTTTTATATTTTTCCTTAATGGTAAATTTATAAAGTATTTTATTGATAAAGTCAGTAATTATGAATTTAACAGGCAAATTGAACACGATGTTATTCCTTTTAAATTAGGTCAATTGTAATAAATATTTTTTCTTGTAGATAACATGCATAGCTTTTGTAAGTAGTATATGCGTTTAACCGTGTTTTTTCGTTTCTTTTTTTGTTTTTGACAATTGAGTATATAATAATACTTTGGCAAAACATACATATTTACGAGTAAAAACACTTTAGCAATCGTAGGCTATTGTAAATTATGTCAACATCTATAATGCTATAAACCACAATAGCGTTACAAAAAAAATAAGACAATTAATAGTACAAAATGTATACTAACTCGAGGTCAAAGTAACAACTAACAGACCAAAAAAAAAAAATAATTGAATACGGTACAGATACAAAACAAATAAATAAAATAAGGTACATCATTGTAAAACCAATACCTACCTGCTACGCTCAGCGTCAAAGCTGAAAACCGAATGTTTTTTTTATGCATACCATACTTCTTGCAAAAATTACCACATGATATTCTTTTTTTAAATTTGTTTATAACTTAACCACATTTTTCTTGATTGATATTTTATGTTGAAAAAAATATTATTACTTTTATAAAACTGCATTAACATAGTTTCTAAGCAAAATTAAAAAAAAACTAACATGATTATTGGATTTCCCTCAAAACATCATCCTCTTTTGATTTCATGATATAAGTCAAGGAAATTAATAAGTTTGGTGAATAGAATAATTTGTGTGCCAAAATTCATCCAATAGCCTTTTATGTTGCGGCTATTAATAATAGTTTTATAATAAAAGCTGTTGCAAGACACGCAGTTGAAGTGAACCTTATTTCTGATTTTTTTGGATTTTATGGAATATAGTTATATTCCATAAAATCCAAAAAAACTCTTTTCAGGATGAATAAAAATACACACAAACATATATATATATATTGAAATAATACTTACTAACTTGCATACGAATTAATTAAATTTTATCAATAGACATCTGGCTTATACTTGGGGGGGGGAGGTAGCCAGAAATTTGTAAGCCTCAGATCTAGTATATAGTTATAGAAACCCTTCTGAAAGATATGTTCTAATTATATTTTGACGGACAGTGATTATCACTTTTCCCCTCGTCCCAGGATGTATTGATTTTAAATAGTTATTGCATTTTACAACTCACATTTAAACATGTATTTTATTATTTTTATTTTGTTATCAAAACAGAATACGTTTCAAAAAACCACTTGTTTTTTGAAAAACTAAACATTACTCATTTGTTATTCATTTTGGGGCAGCACTTAAATAAATACAAATTGTATCGTCGGATTTTGTGCAACACAGAAATTCTAACTAAAATCAGAATATTTAAAAAAATTTAGAGTCGTTATTTATGTAAAGAATAAAATCACTTTTAAATAAACACACTTACCTTCCCCCTCATCCTGCTATCACTTCGACACAACTAAAAGATTTTTTAAAATCCCTAGGGCCAAACTTCTTGGCTGGGGGCGATTTTAATGCCAAACACTCCCAATGGGGTTGCATATCCGACAACTCAAGAGGAAAAATACTCCAAAAAATCATTAACAATAACAATTACACATCCATATCGCCAAATGGTCCTACCTACTGGCCCCAACACGAAAATAGACACCCTGATATATTAGATTTCTTCCTTCAACACTACCTAGAACTATGAAATTCTCTATTAATAACCTAAATGACCTTAGCTCAGACCACACTCCTGTCCTTCTAAAATTAAATGAAAGTCCAGAACTTAATCTTATACATCCTTCTTTATCACAAGGCCCAGTAAATTGGAAAGAATTCTCTGAAATTATGCAAAACACTACTAATCTAAATATCTCCCTTAAATCAAAAATTGATATAGAAAACGCTGCCCAAGACCTCGTAACTTCTGTACAATCTGCCGTCCACAATGCGTCGTATCCAACCAGTAAACATCAATCAAATAATCATACTTTGCCTTTATATATTAAAACGTTGATTTCCGATAAAAGACGTGCACGCTCCAGATGGCAGAAATATCGATATCCTTCCGACAAACAAATATTTAACCACTTAACGAACACTATTAAAAAATTAATAATAAAACACAAAACTGAGTACTTCGAAAGAAAATACCAGTCCTTAAACTCAAAAGATGGCTCACTTTGGAAAACTACCAAAAGCTTACTTAACATAAAACAACAACTTCCACCTATAACTGGCCCAAATGGATCCTTGGCCATCTCTGACAAAGAAAAAGCCAACCTTTTCGGAGAGCATTTTTCCAACATTTTCAAACCACATACTGACGTATTTCCCAACCACGAACACTTAGAAAAGGTTAATATTTTTGTCAATAGTCCTCTTCCAATGTCATTACCTGCAAAACATACCTCACCAAGTGAAATCAAATTTTTAATAAATAAATTAAAAGAAGGAAAATCACCAGGAC